CAGACACAGGTTGAAGAATAATTCATCATTCAGCAGCATAAACTGACAGATTTGCTCTGTAGCTTAGTAGTATCCAAAGCCTTTTGTATCTCCATTTTCACCCAGAGTCTTGCATTCCGGATGTTGCAAACTGGTATTTTAAAATTATTGTTCTGCCTATTTTGAAATATTTGCTAATAGAAATTAGTGTTTCTGGCACTTGTGAGAGACTTGGAAGGTCACAGAGTGATTTCATGGTCCCCCATGACTCATGATACAGTTACAGAGGTGTTTTACATATTCAAATCAGTGAGGTTATGTTTCACTACAGAGGGGCGATCAAAAAAGGACATAACCCTGAAAAAGAACACCATTTATTAAAGAGTTGTTCCTTAAGTCAACAGATAGTTCTTTTTTTTTTTTATTTTCTGAAGTTATATTACAGTTAAAAACATCATGATCTATTTCAATATTAAAATTCACTTTCATTAGTTTATAATGTACATGAGTAACATTGGCTTAAAATACAGGAGAGAAACTCTTTTTGCCTGTTCCTCTCCAAAACATAGGCTACTCTGTACCACCAGGACTAAAGGTACAACACATGTGCAATGCTAGCTCAGAAGGAGAAGATAAAAATTACTGCAGCTAGCTGTGACTTCTCAGAAATTCAGAGCAGTGTAAAAGAATCTCCAGGCAACTATTTCGTTAAAAGAGCAAACCCTGAAGCTGCTTCTGCATGTAAGGCTGAAATGTCACATCTGTTGTTCGTTGATTAGCAGCCAAAGAAAGATGCCGAGCTCACTCTTTTTCCTTTTCAAGCCCTTTTGTATAGTGGTTGCTTACCTACCATATGAATGGCTTATATTTTATAAACTCCCATAGAGTCCTTTATTAACCATCATCTCAGAATAGAATATGGAACAAGAGATGGAAGGAAGAGAAAAAAGAGAAGGAGAAAGACATGGAGAAGAAGGAGAAGACAAAGTAGCAAAAGGCTAATACAGAACTAAGAACTCCAAAACAGCTTAAGCTCTCAGAAACAGAACAAAAGAAGAGGCCCAAAAAAAGATGTATCCATTTCATGATGGCAGGTAGAAGAGAGAGGTGAACAACATGTTGCTATGTGTTCAATACAGCAAAGTGGGAGAGCTGAGAATTTTTTAAAAACTCACAGTTGATTTAGGTATAGCAACATGCTGAAAAAGGTTAACCGCTAGGGAGCATGAGGCTTCTGAGAGATCAGATACATGTAAATGAAAAGAATAATAGTTCTGAAGTGTTCACAACAGAATTGAGATTGAGTCAAAAATAGTGTTTTGGAGGCCCATGCTATCCTTGTTTTGAGACAAGATTACAGTGGTATCAGAGGCCTCTGGCTGAAAGATCTCAACATGAATCTAGAAAAAATTGTTTGCATTTTACCTAACTGCAGAAAAGAACCAGACCAGACTTCAGAATATGAAAATGAAAATGAGCAAAATGCTTTTGCAAACCATGGGTCAATAGCAACATGCAGATGTGGAGAAAAATGAAAACACAGGAAATATACTCCACAAAATTCTAGTGGAGTGAGTTTATAAGAAGTCACACAATTAAGTATGAATGATGTGAAAGAAAACATAAAATTAATCATTGTTTTGTTCTAAGACAGAGCTGGTATATTTCCATAGATCAGAACCTTTTTGGAAAAAAATACCTGTGCCTACAAAAAATACACATATTGTCAATGTAAGAATCTGTTTCAGTGATTTGTACAAGAGACAGCTACCTCCTGACACAATAATATTGTCTTGATCAGAAATCAGCTTCTCACTGCTCTTAATCTAGAGACATGAAAACCTCCTAAACTAGATAGGGAATGCAATAACCAAAGCTTCAAGAAACTGTTTGAAAATAAATGTTAGTTGTGTTGAGCAGGCACCTATAACTTCTGTTCCATAGGTGAGGAAACAGTGCTTTTTCACTGTGGGCTTGATGTAAACAGCAATTCTAACAGATACATTTTATGACTGCTGTCACAAATGGAGTACCTACACTCGTGCTGCAAACATCTCCGACCTACTGACTGTTGACGGAGTACATTCCTTGGAAGGACAGCAGCTCATAAGCTGGGAGATTGTTTTCCAGATGTTTTTAATGTTGTCAAAGAAAGCCAACAAAAACATAAAGTAAGAATGACTGAATCAGTTGTCCTGTCATAGATGTTCCTAGAAATCTCTCTCTGGAGCTGAAATGAAAACTTGGAAGAGATATTTTGGCCAAGTTAGATACAATGGAAACTATCAGAGAGCTTCCAAGATTAGTTTATTCCACAATAATTATGAAAAAGAAAGACGAGTACTTCCCCATGGCTGGCAGTCTGAGCAACAAACAAAGCATGTAAAAACGGGAAAAAAATCCCTAGCCAGGGAATGGTTTCTGGGGACCACTAGATGCTTCAGCTGTGTTCTGACAGGGTCCTCTAGAAAAAAAAAGCTCACATCTGTGGAATTTTAATGCACCATTTAGAAGGCTCCAGTTTACCATGTTATTTGGAAAATGCTTTTTAAAATATCAAGTATTTCCCACAAATACACAATAGATGATATGAAACCATGAGGAGAAGATGAGGAGAAAAATAATAGAAAAATGTTGCAATCCAGGACTCTGGTAAGCTCCTGGAAGGGATTCAAATCAGGAGGTTGAAATGCAGAAAACAAAAATGTGAGTTCAAGGTTAAAGAAATAATCAATCTAGGAAAACGTAGCAGGGAAAAAAGAAGAAAAAGAACTTATCAGAGCATACAAATAGGTCTGATTAGTAATATGTCTCCATACATACATAAAGAAAACATATAGCAACTTAAAGAAAAGGCAGATTTTGTTGGAGAATTTATATTCAAACAGCTCTAAACCATTTAAACTGCTATCTGAAGGTCTTTAGTGTGTAAAAATGCATAATGGGGATGGACTGGTAATCACAATAGGGACTTGCTGAATCTCAAATAGTTGATAAAGAAGGAACCTGTCCTCTGAGTGTATGATAATAAGCACCAAACAAAGCTGGCAGTTGATGCTTCTAAGCAAGGCCTTGGGGCAACACTTTTAACAAGGAATGGTGATCACTGGAGACCCATGGCATATGCTTCTGGAGACCTAACTGGAACAGCATGTCAGCATGCACAAAAAGAATCTGAGGCTCTGTCTTTAGTCCATGCATGCAAAAAATGTTCATTGTTTTTATATGGAATACCAGTGCTAGCAGGAACTGATCACAAGCCATTAGAGGCAATTGCTGAAAAGGGCTTTGCAGGCAGATCTCCTAGATTGCAAAGTCTGGTATGATTTACAACACAAATATAAATCTGGAAAAGACTTACAGGGAGCAGACATTCTGTCCAGAGCGTTCAATAGAACTGAAGTAGTACAGACACAGAGGCTCATGTGCATGCAAAAATTGTTAAGAGATTTTTTTCTTCTCAGACAAGACGTCACTGTGGAGACCTGTCACTGCAGAAAACCAAAATACTAGATTAAAACATGGCAGAAAGTAGTACGAGCTACGAGTCTGACTAACTGGACAGCACTTACTTGTCCTTAAACAATTTTGCAATAGTATTCTACATAATATGGAGTATATGTTCTGAGCATGCTAAACCACTTCCAAAAACTTTGAATCCAGTGCTAGTAAACAGAATGCTTGCATGATATCTGTGCATGAAGAAAATGCAAAATGTATTATATTGTATTTATAAATATTAACTATTGATCAGTGTGGGCAAAATAGCCAAAGAATTAAACAAAACAGTTATTTTCAGAAATGTTGGTAAATTTAAAAAAAACAGCAATGATAGTAATTCTAGAAACTTAAGATTCATGCTCCACAGCTGAAAGGAATTTATTTATGTTTTCTGTAAAAAAATATATTTTTTTTTTCAGGTTATTATTCCTGCTATCCAGAAATAACATTGCTGCAGAAGTCATCTGTTGAATGTGTGATCTCACATATAAAGATGGTATTTGTCTGCCGCAGCGCACAACCCATAGTTATGTCAGATAATGGACCACAATTTGATTATTAGGAATTTGAACATTTTCTAAAAGAGTTTTAAACACATTACTTTTGATTCAGAATAACCAGTCTGATGGCAGTGTGGGAAGATTGCTTAAACAATCTGTTAAATTCTGCTCATATCCTATTCAAGAATTAATTCCAGAGCAGTGCTCTGGATGCTGAAACATGTTCAGCAGCAAACTTAGATTAAGACTGTCCAACAGTGTAGTCAATGACATTAAAGTGAGGGATGTTTAACTGCTGTGAAAAAATCAAACAGAGAATGTACTGTATTAACGAATGGCAGGAACAAAATCTTTGCAATCCAAGACAGCTAGACTGCATTTAATGGAAATATATTTAGTGGCACAAAAGACTGCTGTCATGAGGAGTTGCTCTTCTCTCTGATGAGGCAATTACTGAGCAAACATGGATCTGCTGGACAAAGAGGAGGCATTGCGCCTTCTTCCCTTGGTGGGAAGAGATGGACAGCAAATCTTAAAAGCAAGTAAAAAGGAGCCGTGAGCCAGACAACATCAATGGAACAGACACAACAGAGACGCAGAGAGGGTAAAACCATGGGATGTCTCAAAGAGGCATGAGCTAAAGGAGGCCAGCTCAGATACTGATTGATAACTGTGGATGTATGTGTTGTACTTTAAGAAGTCACTTTTTTTTTTTTTTTTTTTTTTGGTAGAGGAATAAAAATGAAGGTAACTGATCCTTGATGAGTTTGCAGTGTAACATGCCCTGGAGGACTCTGATTGGGAGTAGCAGTTGTTATCTGCCTATGAGCTGGAGAGAGAAAGTGGAAGAGGCAGAGACAGATCAGTTTTAATCGTTTTAGAAAAGACCCATCACATGATAAACTCTGACACAGAGTGGCTGTGCACATACTACTAGAATTATGCCTGTTAATCTCCAATGAGATTATTAATAGCAGGAAGAACTAACACTAGTAATGTGTTTTTCAGGTTTACACTGGACAGAAAGGTATCAAAACAACATTTGATCTCCTTGGTTGTAGAAGATAAAAAACTTCCCTGGACTTCAGCTGATGCGTGATCCGGAAATCTGGAGTGAGCAGATTTGTGGAAACAGACTTGACGTTCTGCGAGAAGAGAGAGAGGGTAGAACAAAGAGATCAAAATATACTGGAAGAAAGGGCAATTTTGAGGGAAACTTTGAGAAATGATGGGGATTTTTACGTCGATCTGTGCTGGGCTGCAATCCAGCAAAGTTAAACTCCAAGTCCTTGAGAAATAGCAAGGACATAACTAAAAGCAACTCAGGTGGCCTTTTGTGTTTTGGAGCAACTGTTATGAGGTGGGAAGGCATTAGTAATCCGTACCCATAGCTTTCTTTTTATCTTTAGGAAACTTGTAGAAGGCAGCAGTCTGGATGCATCTCTAGAGACAGCTTAGCTTTCACAATGAACAATTTAACAGAAGTGACAGCTTAGGTAAAATAGTGGGGGAAAATAAACCCAGGAAGGAAAGTGTCTGCATTTTGTGGGTGGGAAAGAGCACAGAATTTTCCCAGTGTCTGTGAATGTCTCTTCTAGCCACAAAACATCTACAGTCATTGGTGTTTTGCCTTCAAATCAGTGGATTTTTCTCTTTTGTCAGGCAGGTTTTAACCTCCCGGTTTTAGTGGCATTGCTTCTGATTTACAGAGATATAGGAAGACAGAGGAGGCACTTCCCTGACTCACTCCTGGTTGATAATGTAGAAAAACAGTCTATATCATGGCCACCAAACAGAAGAAGAATTTTTTAGTAATACTGCTTCTTCTCTAAATTATGACAAATAAGAATGGCCAGAGCTTTTCAGAACTTTTCATATAGGTATAGCACATTTATTTATTTATTTTTTAAAAAGTATTTTATGCCTTAGGGTGTAATTTGTTATTTCTAATCAGAGAAAGGAAAAATAAGTGAACTTATTTTGAGGTGCTTGTTGGGCTAAGAAAACTTTTCATATGGAGATGATATAGCACTGCTGGGAAACATTTAGTAACTCAACAGAAAACCTGGGCTGTTGTTGTGCATGGAACTTTGTGTATGAGCAATTTAGTGTGTATGTGCATATACATATATAAAGGTGTGTCTGTGTACCTATCTATTTTGCTTTGCTTATATTACTCTTCTGTTTTTTATAGTTAAATGGAAGTGGTACACCCTATGTGATATTTCCTGGTAATGCCTACAAACAATGGTAAGCAAATCTCGGGGCTATTGTGTTGCATGGAATGGCTTAATTTCCATTTCTTTCTGCCATAGCTTTCAGTTTCTTCATGTGTTTTAATGAAATCCTACCCCTTAAAAATAGTTTCACCTACATGAGATGCTAGATTAAGCCTCAGTGCTTGCAGTCATGCTCCTTTGACCAAAGTGTATCTCCTTATCATAATTAAATATTTTGCATAACGTTTTCCAGGAGAGGCAACTGGACACATCTGTTCCTCACACACAAAAATACTAATATTTCTTGCTCCAATACTGGGATCTCTAAAAAACAACTTTCACTGTCAAGAATAGTGCAGTGATAAAATGGTTCATCATCTCTTAATTTGTGTGTCCAAATAAGGTGCAAAGGTACCAAAAAGCACAGAGAAGATGGTAACATATACCTCCGTTCTGTTTTCTTCTGAAAGTGGCAGACAAACTTTGTTGCTCTCATCTACAGTTCAAGAAGGAGATATTCCAGGCCCCACCTGAAAATTAAAAAAGTGTAATCCTGTGATGGAGGAGAGCAGAAGCACGCCTGTCCTTGCTGCTAAGATATATGAAAAGGCTGTATTTAGCATCTTCCTGCCTACTGTGATGTTCCTTGCAGTCTCTAAACAGTAATTTTGGAAGAGGAAAATAGAAGCCTTTTTTGGAGTCTTAATGTGTGTCTTTCTTCTGTCCACAGAGCAGCTCTCTGCATGCTAACTAATGCCATGAAGGAGGTGGGGGCTTTGTAAAGATCATTCTGGTTTCTATTGTTCTCTGTAGTCACAGGAAAATGAACACAGCCTCTCAAAAATTTCCCTCCCACGGGAAGATACTCAAGGAGAGAAAATTGCTATGAATTTGCCCTCTACTTCAGACACTTACTTGCTCACACAGTTCTAAAGTTGTCAAATGTATTTATACATATAAAATAGCAAGTGTTTGATAGTGCCTTTTGCCCCTTGGGACAAGATCATCTGCATATTGCCAACGGGGCTTTAGGCACTGTGTAGGCACGAGTGCTACATGACAACAGCAGGCACATCTGTTGAGCACTGGACCCGAGCAGGTTAGTTCACGTGCGATAGGATGGACTCAGACAGAGCTACAAGTTCATGGCCAGCAGCCGGATGCCTGAACTGCTCCACAGATGTTATGGTCTGAGGCATTTCGGGAGCTGCTGCCCCCTGCTCTGGATTCTGGGACTGGCTTCTAGAAAGCCAGCACAGCAGTGCCTGTCTTTCCAGGGGAAGTAAGTGCAAAAAATCATCTTTGCGTTCTGTTTCCAAGAGACCAGAGAAAGGAGAGAGTTAATTTTCTGCTCATCTTTTTTTTTTTTTTTATACTTCTCTGAAACTAACATAGCATACTTAGAAACTGACTGGGCAAAGAAACACCTCTTAAAATTACAATTTGATGATGTGGGAGAAAGGGAAACATATTTTCAAAAAGCTCTTCCCCTTCCTATTTCCACTATGGCCCAACATTTCTCTCTAAAGCTATAGGCAAGCTGTAGAAGGACTCACTAGTCATGCTGCTTTGTGTGTCACACCTATGTGGTAGGTACCCTGCCACCATGGGGAATTCAGAGATCTGCCACAGGCTCCTGGTTCTGCTCATGCACTTGAAGAGAGAGGTCCACCAAGGAGAAGAGTTGAGGAGGTAGCCCTGGCACCAATCCCATGACATCCTAGGGGTGGCTGGACAGGAACTTTCCTTTTAAACACAGCAGGAAACTGAGCGTCTCCATATGGTATTAACAAGGACCAGAGCCCTTTGCAGAACTAAATCAGCATAGCTTAGTTAAATTCAGTATTCCTATCTTGATTTTCAGCAGAAATTTTAGCCCTGGAAAGTATTTTATTGTACTTGGATCAAGGCTAAAATAAAATATTCTTTGTGCCTCAGATCAGGCCTTGAAGAAATATGAAGGAAATAAAGAGGAAAGGCTGGATTATAGGATTCTACAAAGGATAAATTTGCACCTAGAAAAAAAATTAAAACCCAGGAGTCCATGATAAAGCAAACGCCTGCATAACAGAAGTGTGCTGAAGAAAGATGTATTAAGCAGCATCAAGTCCATTGCTGAAGCCCAAAACAAGAAGAAGCAAAAACCTCAGCCCTCACTGGCAGCAAATAAAAGGTTGTTAACCACATGGTGATCTGTCTTTGGGTACTGCCAAATTGAAAACTGAATGGAACACAATTTTCAAGATTATAACTGGAGAGATGATTAGAGGCATGGGGGGAGCTTTTTCAAGGACTTACTAAGGAAATAGGATTGTAATTAGAAAAGGAAATGGAATCAAGAGAAGATTTCTAAAAGGTGAACAGAAAACACTTTTGTAAATAATAAAAACACATGTTAAGAAGCCAAATTGACAACACAATATTGGTGTGAGTTCACTTGTAATTTTTAGCCTAAAATGGTAGAGAAGTGCATTTTAAATCTAATTACTTGAAAATTTGTTTCCTTTTTACAGCTCTCAGAAATGGCGTGTAAGATTCCACTCTTGCCATGAGAAAATGGAAATGATCTCTCAGCCCTAGAGTGGTCTGATCCAGCCAATATTGCAGATGTGCTTAGTTCCACATGTGCATTTCCCCACTGATTTCACAGATTTGAATATGAACTCTGGCAAGACTGGAACACGGAACGAGCACTGAGTTCTCTTTGAAGTCCTGTTTTCTCCCATAAACGCAATTTAAAGAGAATAAAACATATCTGAGACTCTGATATTAATTTATTTATTTGTAATTAAATATTGTGAACATAGATCCTTAGACAACAGCCACCCAGAACACCAGGTGGCCCTGAACGGTCTAAACAGAGAGGTAATGAAGAGAAAAGGGGGCGAACCATAGATCCTGATCTGTTTAAGAGCTGGTCTTGCATGAGGACTCCATCAGTTGGGTAGTGCAGGCCCTCTCCGCCCTGGAGCTTCCCAGCTGAGGGGAAAAACAGACCATAGGGAACACTGAGGCTGAAATCACCACTGTCACTTCGAGTGCAACAGAGCCCCCAGCCAGCCCTGTCCCGTGTGAGCCTTGGGTTGTTCCACCTGTCCCTTCTAGTCTGTGATAGAGACCAGCAGCTTGAAGAATAGAAAGCTGACCCTCAAATTTGTCTGGATAGCAACGAGAAAAAAAAAAGAGCAAATGGATTTCCATGACTCTGCCCTGGTGAATTTTACTTCTGGAAAGGCACTTTAGCAGTCCATGGAGTCTGTGTGGGGTGCCTCTTCAGGGATCTGCAAGATGGACAATTACTGACTTTACCCCTAAAGAAGTCAGTGACTGCAGTCCATGTTCTTGTGAAGGCTGGGTCCGGTACTGGTTATGATAGAGCTTGTTAGAGGGACACCACACTGAAAGCAAGAAGTAAAGGCAAGTAAACCCCATCAGTCAAATCCCAAGAGCATCTCCAGTTCGTACTTGGTGAAATCCCATGGCCTCACCTCAAACTTGGCTTTTCAGATAATGCTGGTGCAACGTTTCTTATCAGAGAGCAAATCAGTATTATTCATAGAGGTACATCTTGCAGAATCCTTTCCCCCAGGCAGACGTAGAAACCTGTTGTTTCATTGCACAATGAAAAGGTGGCAGGAGAAGAGGATTTTATGCTTTCTGGCTTCAGCTGACGTCTCCGTATCAGCTCACTGCAGATTATTAAGGTACACTTGGGATAAATTAAGCGACTGGAGTGAAGTGTGTAAACCCATCCACAGCAAATACATTGCCTTGTGGGGTGTATTTGCAGAGAATATGATTATTGTTTGAGTTAAAAAAAAAAAAAAAAAGTGCTTTTGTATCTGCTGTATCCTGCTTTTGGGGTGGGGAAATTTTGTAATCCAGCGAGGTGAACACAAGAACAAATCTTGGGAGGTTTAGGATCTAGGTGGCCTTACCAGTGGCCTATTTTGGGCATGTCTGGACATGAACGCTAACCTTGGATGGTCATATCAGAGCAGCTCTGAACAGGCTGCATGTCTACATCGTCTCCTGCTGTACCTCACAGAGATACTAATTGGGTCCTGGAAGCAATATAGGTATGGCAGCATGTTGCTGCATCAAGCTAATTAGCAGTGCTTCTAACGAGCGCAGGTGCAGTAGCAGGTTGACATGGCTCTGGTGCTCCCTGTTTAGAGCTAGCCTGGCTGCCTCTGCCCAGGGCTCTGCATAATGGCATAGCTATCACCTTTCTCGCACTGGGAAGCATTGTTAACCTCTCTGGGAAAATATGAGCTGAATTTGAAGCAAGTGGAAGGTTTTGTTATATACATATATGCAACGGCTGAGATTCTCCATCTGTGAAGTTGGGCATAATGACACACATCTGCCTTTGCAAATCACTGAAAAACTACAATACAAAGTGCTGCACGATGTCAGTGTTAGGACACCTTTGAATACTTATTCTTCATTATAATTCTTTTCCTTGTTATACAATATATACACTGAGACATAAGTCACAAATTTCAACCTGCCAAAAAAACCCAAAAAAGATGCAAGGTGGAAAAACATTGGAAGGAGAAGTAAAAAGCTACTGAGAACTGAACAAAATATGAGTTGAGTTTGTATTATTTATACAGGTTTGTATTCTGCTTATTGATGAGAACATGAAAGTTGAATATTACCTGTGCTTTAGAACAGGGAGAAAGTAACAGCGGAAAATGAAGCAGGATGGTTGGAAGTACAGGTGGGAGAATAATTTATAATGCATAATTTATTCAACAAATTTTTCATCTTATCTCTTCACAAATTAGTCTAAAACAGATTGCTGTTTTCTCAAATTCACTTGTTATGTGAAATTATTTACTGAGCAATTCTTTTAAGTTGTTTGTGAATTTAAATTGTAGAAAGTTGATATGCTTTTGATTTGACAAAAAAGCTCCACAGAGCACGCTTCGCTGGGCTGACTGGAAGGATGCTGCCTTCCCTGGTTCCCACCTGCCTCCACAGAGCTCCATGAAGGTTTGGGTCCTTCTCCAGTGGGGCAGCTTCTCAGAAAGGAGCTAAATCAGCATTTTTGGCACCAAGTCCAAATTCCTGACCATGTTGTTTCTTAATGTTCTGCTAACCCAGGGGGAAAAATGTTCTTTTAACCTTCATGAGAGCAACACCAAAAGCCTCCTGCCTGAAAGATTGTGTATTTTTCCAGCCATTTCATCTGCTCTGACAGAAGTGTAACCTTCCTTTCCCCACCCTGTGCCTTCCCAAAGCCCTTCAGCCTTTGCAGCCACACCATCCCTGGTCATTCTGCTCTCCCTCATCAACCCTTTACCCTTATTGTGAATAATTGTTTGGGGAGGTTTCTGAGACCCTTGGGGACCAGATACTGGTTTGAGTTGGATATAGGAGTTACTGAACATGCTGGTCTTGTGATCCTGGAGAAAGCATTTGAATAAAAAGTTTTTCCTCCCTGTCAGCTGAACTGAAGTTGTTCCTTCCCTTATGGTACAATATGAAGAGAAGTTGCTGTAGCGGAGGCACTAACCATGTGGGTAGCCCACGTGCCAGGTGGCTATTTTGTCACCGCGCCATCAGCGCTCATGTCCCTTTCCCCTAAAAACAAGAACAGTTGTGCCTGTGCTGGCCTGAGGACGAACCCTATTTTCAGCAGTTGCAGGGAGGGGTAGAAAGGTTTTCCTGTGTACGCGCAATTAGCCTTCCGTCTGCAGAACCTGCCAGCTGCTTTCCTTTGCGTAGGATGGTAAGAGATCAATTAGAGCAAGAAAGTTCACAGCCCACTTAAGAAGCAATATTCCCCTTTTATCTTAACTCCTTCTCAGGTTTCTACCCTTTTACAGCTGTGTGGCTGGCGTGCTAAATGCTAATGTGGAAGTACTTTATCCAGTGCCAAGCAGACATTCTTGTGGAAATGAATTCTCCCTTCTCACATTCGTTTCCTACTTTCTCACCTCCCAGCTCGGTTGATCAGATCGTCCCTTGGTATTTAGGGACAATCCTTGAGGTACTTGGCCAGCTGCCCAGGTCTCCAGACAGCCTGATGCTTTACTTGCTTAGTTGAGAGCAGGTTTGCTGCAGTCTCTTTATTTTTCCAGGCAGGCAAGGAATTAAATAGTCTCTTTGTGATCACACACACACACAAAAAAAAAAAAAAAAAAAAAAAAAGAGGTGTTTGGTATTTGATCAGCAGCTTAAATGACTGGATAGATTTTGCTGGATAAAATATTCAGCAGTTTGTTTTGGGTGGTGTTTTGTTTTGTTTTGTTTTGTTTTTTTTTCCTTTCAGTCATTCACATTTGTTTGTGATTTCCCTCTGCCCTTTTAAACTAGCTCTTCTTGGTGATTATTGGTCTAATTGTATCTAGTCTATTTAGGTTCTTAAGCTCATCACCGTGGTGTCTGAACATCAGATCAATGCCATGTAATTACAGTCACACAGAGCACAATCAAAAATTATCAGTGATCACTTTTCAGATCTTGCAACAAAGACATGCTATCTGAGACATTGCTGCAGGATTTCAGATTTCCAAATATTTGCACTTTTAATTAAGCAGATGGAAGACCTGCTGGTAATGAGAAAGCAGGTCTCAGAACTTCTTCCATAGCTAACTTCTGCTCAGACCAAAATAAATTATGCTGCAACAATTCTTTTCCAAGGTAAATAACACAATACACCATTTGGCAAAGTGCCTCACAACAACAAAAAAACCCAGAGAAGTGTTTAAAGGTATTGCACTCAGTGGGAGATTTTCACACCACAGTAATAAATGCAACACAGCAAAAACCTACAGCTAGCAGAAGGGAATGCCTTCTTATCTAACTGCTCTGGAGGATATTTGCTGATCAATCCTATGAAAGGATGATATGCTTCTGTGTGTGTCCAGGGGATGAAATAACAAGCCTGAAGGCAATAATGCTCTCATATCATGTTTGAGAATTTTACAAATACAGCATGAGGCTCTGTGACTCAGTCTGAATGGAATTTTTCTTAGCACATGAATTTTACATGATATTTCGATACTAGCTCTTTTGGGCAGTTTTCCTAACACAGTGCGATGTAAGTTTTTAGATGTTTTTTTATCGTATTTGTAAATACCGTGACACATTTTGTGAAATGTGTGAGGAAGGCTAGCAAACCTGAAAGTTTAAAAATTACAAGGATATTTGATTTGTCTCTTTTTTACTTTTGCAAACTTTCTGATGCTTTTTTCTCTTGGAAGGTAGAAATTAAAAGCACCAAAGAAAAAAGAATTCAGTGCATGTGTTTTGTTTTTACCTTTTTTATTTTTTTTTTCCTCCCATGGTCTCTCCTTAGCCTTTACATTCTGCCTCTGGTTGAACAAATATCCTTACATTCCAGATTAATTAAAAAAAAAAATCAAATAAGTAGGTAGCTCTTATGATTTTTAGCAGTAACAAAAATCCATTTCTTTTTGTTGTTTCCAAATCTCTAAAAGCAACAATTCTTGTAATTATCAAATTTCCATATAGAAAACTGGTATGCATGTGGGGGTGTAACAGCACAATCTGATATTCTTGTAACACCAGTTTTCTATAAATAGGGAAATCTGTTATTTATCATTGGAACTATTCATTAAAATTAAAAAAAATATATATACAGTATGGGCATCTGTTCCTAGACCTTTAGTTGACTGACAGTTTTTAATCCATTTAGCTAATGCTAAGTGGAACTTGCTGGAATCTCAGCCTTTTCAAGAGGTCTTTTCAACTTAGTCTTGATGTGTTTTTATGCCCTTTCTGATGATCTTTGGAAACTTACTTGTTTTTAATAGTTTGACTCCTGGAGTCAGGTGTGTACATGAAAATTGCAGTGTTTATTAAAAAAAAAAAAAAAAGGTTTTCACTGTACAGAAGAAAACTGAAAATGAGATTCTCTTAGGGTTCAAAAGGAGTGTAAGCAGAATACAAAAAATGTTTTGCTTTGTTTTTAAATAAAGACATGATTTTTAAGGTATTCCCATGACTTCAGGGGATCTGGCCAAAGATTTTTGAATATTTTGATTTTGTAACAATTTTAATAATATGTTATTTTTTTATATCGATAGTACTGTTGGAATCTTACTGACCTATGCCGTAGCATTACATATTATTAGCTCTTTATGACAGGGGCTAGATTGCTTCAGCATGTTTACCACCCTGTTATTTTAAGCATAAAGCATTCACTCTTAGCAATGAAGGTACGTAAGGTCAGTGTGCATAGGACATCGGTGTGATTGCATTTGTGTTTTACTTCCACATCTTAAATCCTCATATTAATATTTTGCCTGGGATTTTCATTGCTGCTGTCTCAAAAGAATAGCCAAAATCTCACCAGTGGAGCGGCACTTACGTGGCAGCCAAATCCAGGTGAAAACTAGCAAAATGTTATCAAATACTTTTATACACTGCAATTATTTGTCACCTCTTGATACTTTTAAGGCTTTCACCCTACATTTGTTGTGTTAGTTCCTTCAATGAAGGTTTCTAAAACTGCCTGGACTAATGCTGGTATTCACTGGTGTGAATTTGCAGACAGACTGGGAGAGAATTTGTCTCTCTGCCTCTCTCCTGCTGATTTACGTGGATGTGGGTTTGATCGCTTTCTGTTGTCAGCATTTGTTTTCTTTTCTACTTGAGGCATATATTATGTGTAGAGTAATAAATAACATAATTCCAGCTCTTATGGCTTCAGATGGCACAGTGCCCTCTGCTCGAACTCTTTGGAGAGGGAAATATTCCAGCTTACCGTCAGAGTTTCATTTGCAAGCTTTACTTTACCTTAGCCTTATTTTAAAAATTTCAAAGCTTTGCCTCCACAAATCAGGTTAAACTGTACATTACAAGGGAACTGCTTGACCTTGAAGCAATCCTTTCTGAGGCAGAGGTGACGAAGGGGTTGGCAGGCGGGATTTATTGTGCTCTGAGGAATGCAGAGGGAGCACATGAACATAAATATACAGAGAAACAGGAGTGGGAATCACAGATGGATCTGGCAGATAAGACTTGGGCCTGTATCTGTAAGTAGGTCAAAAGTGTGATGGTATCATCTCCAATGGAAATACAATTCAAAATCTTGTTTGGATGGTATATGATGCCAGACAAGCTCCATTGGACAGATAAAACATTATCACCATTATTCTGGTAAGACTGCAGAGTAAGTAGGATGCTCAACATATATTATAGGCTTGAGAGGTTTGGGGCAAAATGTGTAAGGTAACTGGAAATGTTGCACAAAACCCACTTCTACTGAACAGTTCCCAAGCTGTGGGGGGCTGTGGGATAAAGGACTTGAAGGGCTGCTCACTGAGGCCAGTGGCAGTAAAAGGACACTGGTGGTAGGGTTGCTTGCCCACTTAAGAATATGTGGATGTGACACATCTGGGCTGATTACCTTGGTTCTCATTCCTCAAAGATGCTATTAGCTGATAGTCTACCCCCAGGGAAACAAAGTATGAGTCACAGTGGCCTACATCTGTAAAAAAAAGGTGAAAGTCTTCTTGTTAAGGATGAGTGGGAGATGTGCTTGCATGCATGTTTAGGAAAATAACTATGTTTGCTGGATATGTTTTTCCAGTGCATTCCTTGGACTGATTATCTTGGCATTATTGTGATCAACTCTTTCATCACTCTAGCACTTTTCTTGCTTGGATGAATGCAGTGGAAGTCAGAATCTTTGTTTTTATTTTTCCCAGTAAGCTGTTGTTTTTTAATAAGTTATTGACAGGTAGAAACCCCAAACAAGCCCTCCCCACTTCATTGTGATTCTACCCCCATGTGCTGGCAGCCCACCTCTGCCTTCTGGAACTTTCTGATCCTCTTTGGTCTATAGCTCTATCATCCTTCTTTCAAGGTCTTCAGGGCTTCAGCTGGCCCAGAGAGAAGTGGGAACAAAAAACCATGCTGAAAACATTGAAAGAGAGGACTAGAGGAGAGAAATGAAAGGAGGTGAGTAGGCGTGGGAAAAAGAGACAGAACAAGCACAGCTGAAGAGTCAGAACAGACTACATATTTATTTTCTTTAAAAAGGTAAGTGGTTATGTTTTGAAAAGCTTGTGCTGTTGTTCCTTCCAGCAGTAAAGCCTTTTACTTGAGCTTTTTTCATTCTCCTGACTCTTTTTTTTCCTTTCTTTCACTCTCTGTATTAAAGGTTTAGGATGTGACCCTTCATAAGATGGCTGTTGGATTTTTGGGCCCTTGGATGATAGTGGCTTATTATGTACATATTTGCATAATGAGTTAATTAGGCATAATATGTGGTTAAAACTAACTACACTGCACTCTTTTTATAGAAAGTCAGCACAGTTTTCTGCCAAAGTGTCTCCTTAGGCACCCTCTCGGGGGCCAGTTAGGATTCCCTGCCCTCTTTCAGATGTCACTAACTTCTGGTGATTAATTTGTGAGCTCTGATACATTACATATGCAGTTTATAAATACACACCCCCCACTCTGGAATTTTAGGATTATGTAACAATCTCATTTTATATTTATTAAAGAGAGGGAAAGAGAAATCCAAAACCCCATGATTATAATGAAGAATTTGAGAATGTCGTCAACATCCATCCAACATGTTCAGAAATTAAAAAAAAAAAAACAACCAAAAAATTTTATTATTAATGGTGCACTGCACATAATGTCTTCTATTCAACTTCTGTGAGAGCCATGTTTATTGTCCTTTCCATTTGGAGATGCAATGCCACTGTGAGTGACATTCAATCTGGCTGAGTTGTTTCTTACATCTATGCCTAATCTGTGATGTCTATCAATCTGTGTAACATCTATCTTTGTGGATGTGTGGTCCTCAAAGTGCTTCATGTTGACCTTCTTAGCTCTTCCCAAGCACGGTGAGGTTGATTGCTGATACCATGTTCACTGGATAAGACAGGATGCAACTGATTGCCTAATCTTTAACATTACTTCTGTCCTTTGAAGTTGACTCTGCTTTGAGCAGAAGACTAGGCCACAGACCTCTGGAGGTCCCTTCACACCTTAATTATTCTATAAATCTCTGGTTATTTGTCCTGTGGTATGATGGTGAGTATTGATGCTCCAGCCATTTCAGCAATTGTTGATAGGAAGTAGGCAGTAGACCTAGATTCTCTGAACCACAGCTAAAGCTCCTATATCACAGTTCCTTGTTCCTCTTAAGCATGGTGGTCTTTTTTTTTTACCTTGGAGGACAATCTAGAACAGCAGATTTTGCTGTCTTTTCAGATATGCAGGATTATTCCAAGTTTCTGATAATATTATGCAGGCATATTCCGACCTCTCCCTGATGGCATTGCATTTCCAGTGGTCTGTGTGCCATGACTTTACACTACATGCACCTGCAATTATATTGCTTGCTTCAGGTGATGTAAGGAGAGCTGTGAGTAGGAGGAAATGACTTTAGCTGTGTGTCCTTTCTTCTTCGTGATCATACACCTTGCTAATTTCCTACCACCCCTTTTTCTTGCAGGCATGTAAAGTTCCTCTTGAAAGCACTGGCCACTACCCAAGACAGGATACTAGACTAGATGGAGTGACAGCCTAATACATTTAAACAAGATCTAGGTAAGATCTGAATCCAAAGCAGAATTTAGAAAGCAGCCCTAAGGGCACACTTGGATTTTTCTCTATTAAAATCCAGAAAAGGAAAACCTGCTTTTAGTTAGATCTCAGTGTTCAATGTTTTGCACAGCAGGAGAAATAAATGACTAGTGACTAGTGCTGGTATGTGCCACAAAGGGTCACAAACACAATTATATATGTTTATTTATACAGCAACTGCTTTCCACAAGCCACTCTCTGGCCTCAGAACCAAAGGTGGATGAATTACATTGTTTCAATACAGTGAAATAATTAAAAAAATATAAACTGAATTACAGTTTTTCTTTAAAGAGTATATCTCTATAGTTCTTATCCCCAAAAATGGAACATATGTATGTCTTCTGAGTGAAAATACATAGACAAAAGCACTGGCCATTGAAAAATAATATGTAGTTGCATAAAAATTAAGTATTTTCCATTCATCTTTGTATAAATTACATTATGCTAACTTTGCATCATAGACCCCTTACAGACAGATTAAAAGGTATGGTCATTGAGCTGTAGAGTTAGTTTTTTAGACAATCATAGAAAAATTTCACAAGTGGGATGGGAAGAGAGAAAATATCAGATCATTCTGCAATGGCCATGAGCAAAATGGATGATTTTTATATGCCTGCTATGTTTAAAACAGTGGTCAAGATTTACAGATTTTACTCAAAAAATTATGACTGGTGGGCTTGGGGATTAGGAATTTGTTTCTGAAGAATGGCATGGCTACTGGGTGAAGCAAAGACTTTCTGCTTTTCTACATGGGAGAAAGTCCAAAGATGAAAAGGAGGTGTAAGATGTGTATAAATTGAATAATTCCAGCAGAGTACATTGGGGAAGAGTACTCCATGAACTTTCCATGGAAAGCAAATGCACTGTTGGCAGGGTCAGCAAACGGCTGGAAAATTTCCGACAAAAGTGTTTTTCATTAAAATGTGTAGATGGATTGAGATGGACATCTTTGGTGGAATTGTACTGCTTCTGATAAAACTTCCACTGCATAAGATTTCCAACAGCAGAGTGGAATTTTTTGGTCTCTTTTTCACACTGGGGTGATAGAAATAATTCCTCCTGCCCTCCTCAGCATGTGTGCTATTAGGGCTCTCATCTGGTACAGGTTCCTACTCTGCCTAATTCCCACCTCGGTTGTAAACTTTGGTTGCCGGTTTCACAAACGATTAAAAGCAGGTCTTCTGCCAGGGCAGTTCCATGTTCCACTTCAAAAAGGGGGGAAGAACGGAGTATAGATCAGCGTTTATACAGTTAGTGATTAATTTGATTCCTTGTTCTCCTGTTTCCTAGCTACTATTATTATTACAGAAACCTAGGAGATTTCTGGTTTATCTCAGATATTTTCACTGGGCATGAAAGGGAATTTTTTATCCATTAACTCTTCAAGAAATTTCAGAGACATGTTGATTGAACAGGATGTCCCAGTGTCCTTTCCTCAGTCCTCTATATAAAAACATAACTACTCAAGAAAGCCTCTCTGTCCCTTAGAAAAAGAAAGGGAAAGAGAACAACTTGATAACATGGATTTAGGTACACACATACCTCTTTATAGTTATTTGAAACTGTTCAGGAAATTGTGTACTTGAGAGAGACAGAGGTGCAGTGTAGTCAACCGTATCATAGGGAGACAACCCAGAAGAGACATTTATGAAGGAAAAAACTGCAAGTAAGAAAAGCAGTTTTGCAGAAATCAACATGGAAACAGAACCTGCTATAATCATCCTGAAAGGGACAGATGTTGGCGTTCCACCCTCAGCTCGTCTGGCCTATTAGGTCTCTGAATACTGAAGCTCACAATGCTTTTTTTCCTCCAATTTCAGAAGTGTCAGACAGGAGACATAGTGCCAGTGAAAAACCTTATACTGATCTCTTGTTAGCTAACCGCGGTGTTTTGTTCCACAGTTACATGTCTGCACAAGCCGTCATTGTGTCAGTCATAATTACCACCTATTCAGTGGCTCCCTTCAGGTTTCATCACCTTTGCAGTATTAAGCAGCCAGCTGCAGGAAGCAGAGTCGGCTGCCCTGGAGCAGCAACCGTCAGCCTCTGGATTTCAGGGTATTATTGCTGCCTGAGCACAAACATCTCTCTCCTCCCTGCTTAAAACACCCAATCTGCTCCTGTCTTTGGCAGAGATTAGAGCCCCATCAAATGCACTTTTTGCCCAGGACAGTTGCTCTTTCTTCTGCAGGGGCAACTCAGTGTGGATGTTGGGCTGTACAGTTAATGTGACTGTGCCACCATGTGCCACCACATGAAAATGTGGCCTGGTACTCCTTATTGGAAAGGGGGTTCACCTTTCCTGTAGATGCCTTTTTATCTGTGAAAGATATGAGCTACCTCTGGCATGGAAGTCTAACTATAAAATCCTAGATGTCCCCCAGAAGTGGGGACTTCTCCTGAGTAAAAATCTGAAGTAACCCCATCTAAACTTGACTCACTCTTCCAGAACTATGCTCTCCTGGAAGGGCAGGTAGATGCGTCTTCATCTGGGCCAGCTAGGCAGAAAGAAATGGAAATGCAAAAGTGGGAGGCAGTTGCACTGCATTCCTATCAGCCTGGTGCATGGCTTCAAATGCCAATTGCCTTTCCCCTCTTCCTATCCCATTTACTGTTTTTTATAAATTCAGCTTTGGCTGCATGGCCCAGAGCAGCAGGCCTGCCAACAATCATGTTGCATTTTGTTAACTGCTTATGACTTCTGCACAGTGTGCTGCTGTGATTGTCACACTCTTTCACTTAAACATATGGCACATGGAGACATAAATTACTCCAGCATGCAGCTTTCCATGATAGATTTTTACATGCAAATTGTAGATACTGTTTGAGGCTGCTGAGACTGGCGTGGTCCAATCCTGGAAGCAGTGAAAAACCTCTGCTCTGAGAAGTACCTGGCACACTGGGTTTCTTAGGCTCAATTAGGAAAGCCAAAGACGCTGTCAGACTTTTCTCAATCCAATAGAAATGCTACCAAGCTGGGGTTAAGTATGTGTATCACGTTGGAGAGACAAGAATGAAAATAAAAGCTTTAAAGTAGTGGGAGTAAGAAGTGTTGAGAGGCTAACTGATGAAAAAAGCTATGTCATTTGTATCAGGAACGAGGAGGAATTTAGAGATTCATAAGTTTTGCCTGATTAAGATCCCCACATTGGGATGTTTGTAGCATATTTGTCAATACAGCATATTTGAGTGGGAAATTTTCTGAGGTCCTCCTTGCATATGAGACTTTCTGAGCTAATTTCAAGACCAAGTCACTACAAGAAAACATAAAACTGTTGAAAACTAAAACTAATGTTCAACAAAACTAAATATTCAAATAAGCAAATGGATAGCATAACCCCCACAAATATCTGCAAATGGTCCTTCGAAGATGCACAGCTCATTTATGTGCTGAGGGACAGTCATGAAGAGAAATGTTCTTCATTTCCTTCCTTTCTGTAAGTTGATTCTTCTTGAGTTTTGAGTCTGAATCAGAGAAAAAGATTTTAAGGGATTTTACATTATTTTCTTGCTACAAAACTCTGAATTGACATCCAACATTGACATGGCCTGACAAGAAGGAGCTGGATAACAATCATTGTCCCATTGTTTTGATGAAGCAGAACATAGCACAAATCTGAAGGAGGGAAAACCTGGAGGAGAAACAGATTCAAATTTTATGGAGACATGTTGCACTCTACAAACTCACATATTTTCCACCAGACTTGCTGGATTTGAAAAGATGAGAGAAATACAGTAATAAAAATACCTAACTTCACCAAACTCTTTAATGAAGAAGAGTTAATCATGAATCTTCAAGTAGAAAATCTGAGCAGCTGTTACATTTCACCAACTGCTGCTTTCACTTGTAATAGGGTTTCATATGGCTAAATCTCACTGTAGTGCATTGGCATGAGTAACATTAGTTTCGGATCCACTAGAATCTGAGTTATGGGAAATGTCTAAAATATCTTGGTGTTTTAAGCTTCTGAAGTACTGTGATCCACCAGGATGTGTTGTCATATGGAAAGGGGTATGTATGTAAATGGTCACCAGTGACACCATTTTTCTTCATTTTCCTTGGCTTCTTGACCTACCTTCAGTCCTGAAACTCTCTCCTTTCCTCGTCTTCCTTGCTTACTACTGTATGTTTTTCTTGATTTCTTTTGAAAGTCCTTTAAAACAAGTGTAACTTAATTTCCTAATGTGACTGCAAAGAACTCTTCTGGCCTAAATTTACCTCTTCACAGCCAGCTGGTCTCCTGCCATCTATCCCATGCAAGTACAGTGATATCCTATTGTCTCACTTTGCTCCCAACTTAGGAACAAGCTATGAGCTTGTTCATGAATGTTATTTCTCTTGTGAAGTTAGTGGACCGGTGTAGGAATTGCCTCAGTACATTGATAGAAGTGGAATGGACTAGAAAAGAAGAAATTAGTGATTAACAATTGCTACGGTGCCCAACTGATCTAAGTACATTTCATAGTTGAAGAGCCTTGAGCTAAGTATGTCCCAGAATCCCAGTTGTGAATAATCTGGAAATGTAGGAAAGCTCAAATCTAAATCAAGACTTTGTTGTCTGCCCTTTTCTTTAAATCTATAAAATCCACTCAGTGCAACAACAAATACACATAAAACATTTGTAACTTCTGTCATAGGACAGCAGGAAACTGTAATTGAATATTTCCAAGGATCTTCTTACCTAGCAGTTGGTCTGGAATGGGTAGGATACATACACACAAAACATTAAGCATTTTTTACTTGCTCTTACCAAGACCACTGTTATAAAGTCCAGTCTGGCTCTGGATGAAGAGAAAGTGTTTGGAAACAGCTGGTTGTTAGTGAGCCAAACCAAACCTGGACACTGTGGGCTTGACTGTGTGATGTGACTGCGTTTTCACTAAAATCTCACCAGGATGCTGTGTCAGGCAAATGCTCTCCTAGAGTACAGGTGGCAGGAAAGGCTTGGCCGTATGGAGAAATA